TAGGTATCCTGGATACAGACTTCAGGTTCCTTAGTTCCTATGGGCCTTTCTCTACTGGGAGAAGAAGGGAGGAGATGTAGGATGGGTTCTCTGAAGCACTGTTTGCAGCAGTATTGCACTTAGTTTGGTCTGGTAACAAATGCTTGAGAACAAGAAGTTCTGAAAGCAAAAGCAGTGCTGTGTGGTTAAAGGGCTGGCCCGATAACATAGATCCAATTACATGCTCCTCCGTAAACTTTGCACGTAGCCATGGGCAGGTTGACTATTCTTATCTTGTCTTGGTTTCCCCATCTTTCACAAGAAGCTCGTATTTTCCTTCCTGTATGTGTTGTGAGGGAAGAAATCTCTAATATTTTGGAAGTACTATTAAACTTCTCTGTGGAAAGGAAGATAGAGAGATATCAACAGGAAGACCGAGCCCTTGATTTAGAGAGATGACTTGCAATTTCAAGGAAGAGGACAGAACATCAGAAGTCAAAAAGGCATATTGAAATTTTCAAGAAGCAATGCTGATGCAGAACATGTTACGTTTGCAGCTGCTGGAGTGTGAAACTTCTTCCACGATGTGACAACCAGCATGAATTACTTTATTTCTCGTAACAAATACAGATGGACAGATATCAGGGTGAAATGAAGGGCAGGGCCATTTGCAAACTGACAGAGAGAACCTTCCACCGCATGCTGCTTGGAAATAAACAGATCTTAATCAGCTCTTCTGCCTTTCTTTATCTTCAGAAAACCTTTAGAGCTAATATTCTCCAGCGGAAGACTAAAATGCTTTTAGGAAATGCATGTTGTTTTATGAGAATCTGTCTCTATTTTAAGGAGGTTGTCTAAAATGCTAATGTTTCTCTTTTAATCACGATTCAGAAAACTTGTGGCTTTCAAATTTCCCATTTCAGTTTCAGTCATGGGACTTGGATTACTTCATTCCTTGTCCCTTCTCCAATGTTACCAGTCAAGAAACTTCTTGTTTCCAGCCTACACCAACACGATGCCTGTATTCCTTGCCTCATGATCCACACTGGTTTTGAGTCAGGATTGAGTTCCCTGCCTATTGCGTGCAGCAGCACCTGTAGCAGTGCTAGGCATGGAAAGTACTCCCAAGGGGAAGATATTCACACATAGCTTTTAGTCTGTTATTATGAAAAAGAAAATGGGATGAAGGGAGCATCTCTAAAACATGAGTGGGAAGATAATACTGTACTTTCACCCATGAGTGATGGTGGTATCTAAGTCCATATAGTAAATCATTGAAACCACTGGTCATACAGGCAAGGCATTGCAAATCGGCTTCTGTCTTATAGGTCTTACAGAACAAGCAATATAATACCTACCTTACTGTAGCTACATTTCTAAAGGTTTGGGTTACTAGATGGTGGGGAAGGGGGATTTGTAGTACCCCTGCAACCTGTGCACTTTGCTACAGTGTGAGGACTTGGGATGGGCACCCAGGAGAGGATGAGCTGTAGAACCAGCTAAGCAGTGCACATGAGCGAGCTAAGATAAGGTATGTGTGCTGTTGCAGCTCCCATTTGGCTGCATAAGATTCAACAGTGCATTTTGCTGGCATAGTCACTCCTTCAGTTGATTGGGATTGTCATGCCGTGATCCTGAGATGCTGTAGTTACTCAGATAGGTTTTTGAAGGAGTGTAGAGAACCATTCATTTCATAGTCTAAAAATAAATAAAAGCAATTTCAGAAAAATAAAAAAAACAAACCCAGAATGTGCTCAAATGTCATAAAGTGCTGTTACATGACAAAGCATGACCCTTTTTACCTTTGCAGCATGTATTCAGGAAAGGTCTTATCAGTGCCAATCAAACTCAGACAAAACGCCATCAATTTGTACTGATGAGCTACTGTTTATTTATGTGGCATCCCTTGCTCCTAAATTAGCAGAAGGAATTTATATATTGCTTCGAGTATACAATGCAACTCTGCTTTTCTGCTATCCTTTCTGTGTGGAGCACCACACCAACATGAGAGTAATCAGGAAAAGTACCACTAATAGGGGTTTGTGTCCAGAGAATATAGGCTCCTGTTCCCTGGCCTTCCCCTCACTAAATAGCCTGATACAGTTACATACATTAAGTACTTTTCCACAAAAGAATCTCTTTGAATAGACTTGTTCCCAGCACTGACCTCAGCTTCAAGTGGGCTCTGACAGGTGAGGAGCACTGGGAAGATGCTGTTGGACAAGCACAGGCTGTTTATGAAACCACCTTTGCAACCCTCTTTCCCAGCACTGCCATTTGCAAGGGCTTCCCTCGAGGAAGATTGTGGCAGGACAAAGGCTAAGATGGTTTTGAATAGAAAAGGAAGTTTATATTTTATTTATTTCAGATAAGCCTAATGGATGGGCTTGTGAGGAGCAGACTTGCAACTGTCCTGAGCAGTGGCAATCTTAAACTAATCCCACTGAACTTGCAAGAACTCAGATTTCATAAAGAATTTAAATTTTTAGGTTTTTTTAATATGTAGTATTAAGTATCTGTCAGAGATTAGCTTTCTGGTTTTTCCACGAGATAACGCAAGCCCAGAGTTAAGATGCTGATTGATTTTGCTGTGTTGTTAGAAAGGGAATTTCAGGTTCCATCAGGAAGAGAGGTCAAATGAAACAAACCTCAAAATTTGGCCTAGAAATTTTGGTCCTGCCACTAACTGTTCTGTTCAATGGCAAAACTCACACTGGTTATAGTGGGGTAAAAACCATTCCTTAGTTTGGTATATAGGATGTGGGGATGCTTGTGATCCCTTCTGGGCTCTACGAATACTGCCTCTATCAGCTAGTCACTGGGGTAGGTCTGAGGAGTTACTGGCAACTTGCAGCTGAATAAAGCTATTTAAATTCAGCTCATTAAAAGCAGGTGGTTAGGGTACATTTCCATTAGGACGAGCAAGTGCTGCTACCCAGAGTCTGCAGTCACGAGTTAAAATGGAAAGGTTTTGTAGAGCTGACACAGACAGCTGTGCAGCGCTTCTGAGACGCGTTGTGCTGTTATTGAAGATGACACAGGAAACAGTAAACATTTTATGTTTTTATCTATCTTTCAAATTGAGCCCAGGCCTTCATGGACTGAATAGCAGGAAGATACTCTGCCATCAAAGATGCTTACTAACATTTACTGCTTGTTTTGGAAAGCACTCTGAGAAATTCCCAAGGAACAGAGACTAGTGTTGCCTGTGGGAAGTACGAGTTTCTGCAGGAAATGCATTTTTTTTTTCTGCACCAGACCTCCTTAGACATACTCAAATGTTTTGTGAGAAGTTTTTCTTTGTTTTTTTTTGGTGGGACAGTCACAAAACCTAAGATAAAAATATGAATTTTAAGATGTGTATTTTGTTAAAAGGGCCCTGGTCACTGGTGGGCTGAAAGCCTGGTCGTAAGAATTGCTGTAATGAACACAGCCCTGAGTAAACTGTTTTCCACTGGATCAATCATTCTGTCCCAACACACCTATAGACCTTGTAGACACTTAGCATTTTGGATAAGGAGTTTTATCAATCTCTGATAATGCTAATTTATTACTGTTCACAGATTTCACTGGTCTGCACTGCTGGTGTTGCTGGTCCTTTTGATACACTGTGGGAAAAGGGTAAAAAATAACAGAAATTGAGAAATAGTCAAAGGCCAGCCAAGGAGAAAAGCTGCCACAGAGACTGGTGGATGATTCACAGTTTTCGAATCTTCTTCCCTCTGTCATAAGCATTCTGTTTCTTGAAAGAAAGTGGAAAAAAAAAAATGTTTCAAGAAGGAAACAAATGTTTGGAGAGCTGACTTGGCTGGAATTTTCCTTGCACATACACTCTTTGACATATCAGTGCTTAAACTTTCTATGTGTGCGTGAGGGGGGACAGGGAACAATCAAATGTTAGTGAAGATACCCACATCTGTTCCATTATTTAAGGCTGTAGAGATGCTCTTTAGCTCTCATAGTCCTTGCTATTTCGGTTGCCAGGTGGTCTTCCTGCCCAGATTTCACATCAAGAACAGCTGTGAAGACTTTTTTTTTTTTTTTTCCCAGCACATGCAGGAGGAAGGATCCCTGTAGTCCCATCCTTTTTGCAGAAGGCAAATTCATGATATGGCCAGGACTTAATTTAAGGGTTCCCTACATTAGGTCTTGGGGATCTTTTTCCTCTATTTATGAACTAAACACAGGTCAACCCCATGCACCCATATCAGATGTAGTACCTCTACTTGCAAGGCACAAAATGCTTCACTCCACCCCCCCTGCCCCCCTCCTACTCTCGATGCTCCCTGGAGCACTGAGAAACATCCTCACCAAAAATCATCTGACAAGGTCACCATCTAGATACAAGAGAGGGAAATAAAATGTCTTATGCTCCAGCCATGTATCTGCAGTGCATTTATTATCTCTGACACCAGAATATCTGCGTGCCTCACCATTCTGGAGGTACCAAGTTTCACACACACCACCGCTGGACAGCAAGGCACTATGGCCTAACTTACAGCAGCAGTCCAGAGGGGCTCAGTGACTTGCCCAAGATCACCCAGTGGGTCAGAACCAAGATGAATCCTCCATCATGTCTGCGTTGGAGCAAAGCGCAGAGACCGCTTTGCCTTTCAGTTTGATCAGGTACAGCCATTGGATGCAGTGCAGGAGATGAGAAGGCAGGATTTAAACAGATGTGCTAGTACCCAGAGATCAGAGCTATCAGGCACAGCATCGCACTGAGGCCGTTTTACAACTTCCTGAGCAAATTGTCACAAGTCACTTGTGTGCATCTGCGCTGAGCTTCATTGTGTGGTGAAATGGTCACCTGCTCTCACTCCCCAGACCAAGCTAGTATCTTAATTTATGGATTGTCCTCCCTCTGAACGATCCTTACTCAAATCATCTCACGCCAACACACACTGAAAACCTTGCAGATCAGTAGCATTCTGGATTAAGACTGTTATGAACCTCTGATGATGCTAATTTATTGCTGTTCACACACATGTTGTCTTTCTGTCTCTCCCACTGCAGATCTGCGCAGGATGACAGCTGGATTCATGGGCATGGCTGTGGCCATCATCCTCTTTGGATGGATTATCGGGGTGCTGGGGTGCTGTTGGGATCGAGGCCTTATGCAGTATGTGGCAGGGCTTCTCTTCCTCATGGGAGGTAAGATGTTGGTGTTGGAAGAAATGTGGTTTACTTGGTTTTTTCATGTTCCTTCTTTCCACATGTCTCTCCTTTTCAGTTTTCACTGAAAACGTTTTTAGAGTTGTTTTAGCTGATCTGGACTTGGTTTCATTCTGAGCTGCTTCTGGTTTACATCAGGGATAACTCAACTGTAGTTATACATTACTTCTATCACAAAACAATGTCCGTAAGTCACAAGACTGGAAATGGCCTTCTGAGTTGTTCAGTTGAGTGCTCTATTGTTGCAAGTAACAGCCACCCTTAAACTTAATAAGCTTAATAAACTTAGTAATAAAAATCTGAAGATTATGCAGATGTTATTCCCACCACTATCCTATTTTATAATGTGACACTTTGATAACTAGAAACTGTGCTCAAAGTTTTAACCTATATTTATTCCTTGTCGGTTGTTCTTGAGTCAAATGTAACCTTTAGTTTATGCGTCCCTCTTCTTTCTCTGATGTACCTATGAAGATCAATGGTATCCTCTGTTTTCCTTTTCCCACTCTACATATACTATTTCTTGTAGACTTTTCTCTGTAAGACCAGTTATCAGTCCAGCAGTCCTTTCTGCCACCTATTCTTGTTTGTACTTGTCTTTCTCAACTACAGATGAGAAGGGCTATTCCCAAACAAGGTCAGACCAATGCCTTGTATAAGTGATGTGACAGTTCCCTTTCTCTGCTGGAAATCCGTTGCCTGAAGTATTTTGCGGTTGTATTTGCCTTTTTCATGCTGCATCACACTGGAAACCCACAGTCATCCTTCAGTTGGATAATACATCCAGGCCTTTCTCCTCCTTTGTAATTCCCTACTGATGATCTTCCAATTTACAGCAGAGGTTCTGTTTATTACCCCCAGGTACATGCCCTGGTACTCTGTGCTTTTGAGCTTCTTCCCATTTCTACTACACCAGCCCTCAAGGTCATCCGACATTTCCCATGTAATGCTCCAGCCTTTCTTACTGCAGATGCCATCCAACTTTCTGTCACCAGCAAGTTTCATGGCACAGTTACTTGAAAGGAAGGGTGTGAGAGTCAAGTCCCAAACACAGTGCTGGGTGAATGTTTCAAAGTGAACAATACCGCTTCTGTTCTGTCCTCTCTGCTGGTGGTTTTTGTTTGGCTGGGTTTTTGCCCCCCAGGCAGATCCATCGCTTCATTGCATTTGGTCGCCTGCTCATCTATACTGTGGTGTGACACAGCTAAGCATGTGAAATACAGGAAAGCTTCTGTAGTTCCAGAAGAGGAGTTAAGTGCTCGAGTAACCAGTACTTATGTTGCAGCACTGGTGGTGCTGGTGACATAGACATTAACTCTCTCGTACCCACAAACACGTTTGAAGTCTGCTAGTACCTTGTGCAAGCACACAGTGGTCTGTGTGTGGATGTCTGCAAATGGTTTGTTGTGGGTGACAATACTTTATGGGCAATAGGTCTGCCAAATTAGCTTGGCATTTCTTGTGTAATTAAAAGCTTAGCTTGCACAGGGGGAGGGGGGTGTATTTTGCTCTAATATGCTCACATATCTGTGTGGCATTTAACTACAGATTAAAACATTAGGGCTACACTAAATAAATACAGAAAAATTTATTAGAAACTAGCTAAGTATTTTTTACTAATTGGAAATTATCATTATATATGGGAGAGTTTCTAGTGCAGCAACAGAGATTACTTATTGGCTTAATGTTATTTGCTTGTCAGTGATTTGAAATACGGCTGATAAAAGTTTTCAGGTGAAACATGCAGAGGTTCTGTTTATGTAACCATGTGTAACCATGCCTAATGGGATGGGTCACTCATAGCTTACACAGCCGTCTTTTGGTAGGCTCAAACAATATGCATTTCAGTGGAGACAGATCAAAGGTCATGCAACTGGGAAAAAAAAAAAAGTGTCAGTCATCCTTGCAGAACGAGAGGTTGCCTCTCAGAAAGCAGCAGCTCTGAAAAGGTCTCTGGGATCGTGGCTGCTGGGATCATCCGGCTGCACAGGAGCTCTCAGTGCAATGCAGCTGCTAAATGAGCCAGTTCTGATGGGAATATGCAAGAAGAGCATGAGGTAGTGTTCTCTCTGGGCAAAGCAATACTATTTCTGGACGTCCTAATCTGGTGTCCATACTAAAGAAGGATGTGGAATGATTGGGAGAGGTTTGCAGAAGAGCTACAAGAATGACTCAATGTCGAAAACCAAGAAAAACACAGTATGCCACAAAAAGCCAATTGCTTGAAACTGTTTAACAGAAGGTTTATAACTGACTTGAACACAGTGTGGAAGTACCTATGCAAGGAGAACCCATCTGATAGTAGCATGCTCTTTGACTGCATAGACAAAATAATAACAAGATCCAGCAGTTGGAATGTGAAGCTAATTGAAATGAGAGGCACCAGATTATTTTATCTGCCAAGATGTGTGATATTTTTAATAAAGATGTGTTGGGAGGAGATCAGACTTATTTTCTGCTCCAGTGTAGACACGTGGATCAGGGTTACAAAAGGTTACTCTCTTTCTTGTTTTGCCCAAGTCAGTGGCAACTGCTTTACCTTTCCTAATGTCTTTTAACAGCAAATGTGTATAAAGTAACATCTACAAACTGAAGCAGTCAGTTAATAAAATACAGAACTAGAGACATCTAATCTAAAAGTCAGTAGCTATCAATGTTTTCGAACTGTGTCATGTGTTATATAGTCATTCCTTCTACAGCCAATAAACCTTTTAATTCGAACTTTTTTATTGCTGGACAGTGTTTGAATACAAAGCCGTTATTTCTGTCATCCTGTTGGTCCTCAAAATGCACGGAACCAGAACGCTTCTTAGTTTTGCCTAACTTTTTCTCTGGTCCGATAACGGGAAAAATGCTTTGGGAGGCTTATGACATCTGACCTCGCTGCAGATGAGAGGAGACTGCGTTAAATTGGTAGCTATATAATCAGCTGGAAATCTACCTTTCCCTTCCATTTGCAACACTGCTTGTCTTGGCTGTGTTTGTGGCATTTGTTCAGTTTTTATTTCTAGACAAATAGCTCTTCTGTAATGCTTAAACATTCATGGCTTACCGTATCTGCGGGTTTTGTCCCTTATTGCCCATAATTCTTTGAACAGGAAATCTCGGTGGAGCACTGAGAAGTGTGCTGTGATAATCTAACAAGACCAGACGTGGTTTCCTCGGACCTCTGGTTCTTTATTATATTTACTGAACAGTCTTCTTGCTAGCCCATGTGGCAGTCCCTAATAAGGACTTGCTTTAGTGTGCTTGATCTAATTTCTCAAGTAAATTGCTAAAATAAGTCATTTGTGAAATGCAGGCTGTTATCTGGTATTAGCTCATCTGGAATCCAGGACATGTAAACTGTGATTTAGAGTGTGTTTTACACTGTTATTCAGCATGTTTTGTAACAAGTTAAAATTTATTAATAATTCATCTTTTCTGTTTAGTCGAAATATATCTGTATCAACAGCAATCACAGGTCTCTCATGGCTTCTGAAGTTCTTTTGCATAATTTTCTGTATTTATTGTAGAATTTGTACTTGGATTCCTTATCTTGAATGACAGCATTTGCCTGACCACAGTAGGATTTTTTTTTTCAGTCCCTCATCTTGTACAGAACCAGATGGATACTGCAAATTATGTTCAGTATTTTTGACCTCATTTTGCATGATGGTACTATTGCATAGCCTCCTGTACTCAGAGTTGCACTATCTACTGTATTTTCATCTCAGTATTGTCAGTATGATTTTATCCTACAAGGCAGGAGAATTTCTCCTGTTGAGTGTTTCTCCATTTGGAATTGTGCTGTTAAGTTTCACTAAGACTAGTTCATTTTATGCATCTTATTTGAGACTGTTTAATTCTATTACAGAAGTGGGTCATACTCAAATTATACATGTCTCCAAGCACATCCTCTTGCAGCTTCTTGCGTTTTCTCTACATGCAAATTATTGAAAATCTGTGCACCAGTAAAAGCTCCATACTGGGCATGTCATCCAGTAATTTTGTAATTTTATAGTAATTTCTGGAACCTTAGAAGCATCTGTAACACTGTTTCCAAATGTCAAAGTCCTATGGCAAACTTGATGATTTCATGCTCATTTCCCTGGAGGTGTTCAAAAGACAAGTAGATGTGGTGCTTAGGGACATGGTTTAGTGGTGGGCTTGGCAGTGCTGGGTTAACAGTTGGGCTGGATGATCTTAAAGGTCTTTTCCAACCAAAACCATTCTATGATTCTAAGTACCTAATAGTAGTCTAAAAGGAATTCAGTTAAATATCTACCTGATGAAATGCATGTGGGGCATTTTATACATTGTGTTTTGACCAAAGTATATTTACTTGCACCAAACCCACGCCTTTGCTTTTTCAAGTCTAGACGTGACCTTCTCATCAGTTCCCAGGAAGTAGTGCTCACATTTTCTGGCTTTGAGAAGTTGTTTTGCATGTATTCAAATCCTTGACTTGTTTGGTTTTAATATCATGGCAAACCTGTCAATTTCATTTGGTTGGTGTCTTTACTCCCTCAACAGTAGCTACTATTATTGCCAGGTCATGGTCAAATTTCAGTTTTACTTGCAGTTCCAACGAGTTGGGACGCTATGAATTGGCACACTGGCAGCTCTACCAAGGCAAATTTCTGTATCTTCAGGAATCCCTCATTTCAATTCTTCATCAAGTTGTTTATTTCCTATATCATGGTAAGCAGACAAGCTCTATATCCATCTAACCATCAGGTTTTCCACCTGCTGTCCAGCACCTTTATTCATAGGATTTTCTTGTTTCAGCATCTCAGATTCTGCTAGGTTTGTTGTCCTTCTGTAACCATGCAAACCCAACCTCACCACACCTCCTGTTATTGTACTAGCTTTATAAAATCAGCGTTTAAAGACAGTCTCTGATAGCCTGTTGTCTTCCCAGTTCAGCTCTGATTTCATTTCAGTCAGCTATTTTGAAACATCATGTGGATTGCTTTATTTCTAGTTTTAAGGGCAGG